TTGATAATGATGATAAAGTTCAATAAATAATAGTGAATGACCACCAACACTAAAAAAAGTGGTAGTTCTAGAAATGTGATTTTCATCACAATGAAGAACTTGACACCAGATAGTGTGTATACGTTCTTCAAACTGATTCAGAGGAGTATCCGATTTATCGGATAATAATAAAGTCGATAAAGAAAAGTCGGGTGAAGGAAGTTGTTTTCGGTCTACTTTTCCATTTTGATTCAAAGGTAGTTTTTCAAGTATAATAAATATCGATGGAATCATATGTGGTGGAAGATGGGACTGACAATGTTCATGTAATTCCTGTTTATTAGTATCAGAACTTTGAACATATGCAACTAAGTAATCATCATTCCATTTCATGACAACGCAAGCAGAAATAGATGTGATGTTAAGTAAACATCGTTCGATTTCACCAAGTTCAATTCGTTGTCCACGCAGTTTGATTTGATGATCTTTTCTTCCTTGAAAACGAAGAAGACCATAGTTGTCCAATGTAACAAGATCACCTGTTCGGTAAAACAGTTCACCATTTATTTCAACAAGAGCTTTTGCACTTAAATCATCACGACGAAGGTAACCAGCAAACACACCTGTCCCTCCTAGAAATAGTTCACCTTCTTCGTCGACAACAGATGATTGTAAATATTGATTCATAATCATACATAGGTAATTAGAAAGTGGTCTACCAATTGAAACGCTTCGTGTATCGTCTATTAGATCTACTCTGTGGAAGGTAGAAACTATAGTTGTTTCAGCTGGACCATAAAGGTTCCACACTCTACAGCGATTCGCGATTGAACTAAAAATGAATTTTACCAGATTGGTAGAAAACTTTTCACCTTTAAAAAACGAGAAAAATGGTATATAAAAAATACATTCGCTGGAATGACTACATACCACCAGTGCAAACAGTTCGCAGACTCACTAAGGATGAGCCATCATTAGAGTGTTTCAGAAAACTAAACAAAGTTTGAAGAGTAGTTGGTACAGCAGAAAAGCATGTAACATTCTTCTTTTTGATCACGTCGACAAGATACGTGAAATCAATAATTCCTCCTGGATGCAACATTACAAGTGTGGCTCCAGTTGCCAACGTACCCATAACCTCTTGAATATGAAAATCAAAAGAACAACGTGCTATTTGCATAATGGTGTCGTTTTCATTCAATACATCACTGAAGACGAACGAAAATATTAACTGAATAAAATTTCGATGCCATACTTGGGCCTAATAGGAAACAAAACTATTTTCAAGACATCAAGAAAATACACTATATTAAACTAACCGCTTTGGGTGTTCCAGTAGATCCACTTGTGAAGATGATGTATCCCATACTGTCCAGTGCTACTATGATATTTGATAATCGGTCGGCATCAAGTGTATCATGCATATCTTTGTCAAACAAATCTGAATCAATATCAAGTGAAACAATGTCATGATCAAATTTGGTCTTAGTTAAATGATGAACAAGAACAAGACGACTCTGTGTTTGTTGTGTGAGTGCATGTAGACGATGTTTTGGATCTCGAGGTGACAATGGACAATAAACACCACCAGCCATTTCAATTCCCATAATACCGATCACCTAATAAAAATCAATTTCAAACTTACATCAATAGTTATTTCTCCTCGTCAACTTACCATTGACAAACTTCGCTCAACACATTGACACACGATCTCACCTGGAAATACATGATATTCATTAAGAAGAGTTAAAGATAATATTTGAACATAATATAGAAGTTCACAATATGTCAATGATTGTTCATCTAGTTCAACAGCTAGTTTCTGTGAATGTTTCATTACTTGATATGCAAACTCACGATGAATACAAGTGGAAGGAGCAGATGAAAATGATGTTTGTGTATTATTCAATGATTGCATTAGATATTGTTCATTTGATAATATCATTGATAATTCATAGATGGATTTGTTTGTTGTACAGTTAAAAGAGGTGAACTGTTGATGTAACATTGTCTGTAATCTTTGTGTAATTAAACAAATTGTTTCAACATTAAATAAATCAGTTGAAGCATCGATGGTGCATGAAAGTTCATTAAGATTCAGGTCATGTTGAAAACTAAGAATGAAATCAAATTTACTCATTATTTCATTTTCACTAATCTTAATTGACAAGGGTAGTAAAGAAAATCGACTATCACCAAGCATTATTTCATCTTCTTCATCTTTTCCCATAAATAACAGAAATTCAAATGATGTATCAAGAAATACAGGATTTGATATATTAGGATGTTGATTGAGAATATGTTGAAGTGGAAAATATGAATATTTAATACAGTTTATCATATTATCTCGTACGTGTTTAGTAAGTTCATGAAATGATAAATGAGGATCGAGTTGACATCGCAAAGGTATGGCATTCACAAACATTCCAATGATATAGTTAAGTTCATCTCTATATCGTCCATGTGTATTTATTCCAGTGCATAAATCTGTTTCTCCATTCGTTAGTTTGAATAAAAGTACATAATAAGTAGCAAGTGCAAGATGTTCCAATGATATATCATTTGATGATGCATGAGTAAGAAAGTCATGTGAGAGATCTTGACCAAAATCAAAAGAAATCGATGTTCCACGACCAGTTCGATGTTCATTTGAGAGACGATATCGATCATATGGTAATGACAAAGGTTGATCAAGTTTACAATCATGAAGAGCATCAAGCCAAAACATACTTGCACCAGTCATTGACATTTGCTGTTCAATAACAGCATCTATTATATAATCAAAGAAGAGAATGCATTAGACAAAAGACAAAAATATGAGAACTAGTTATATTTACAGTCGAGATAACGAAGATTAGTGCTGTCATCATATAATAATTGACCTGTTGTATATGCTTGATTGAGATCATGATGAAACACTTTCATTGATGGAAAATCAAATTGTGCATGATGAAAATTGAAAATAAGTAGATCTTTGTGAGAAAGTAGATGATTCGAAGAGATTTGTTTGTGATAAATAATATGACATCGAAAGACGAGACCTTGAGCAAGATTAAAAAGATGAGGATTTTGTTTCTCGTCATGTAAAATCTCATTGAGTTGTTTATCTGTTTCATAAGTAGTTTCGATGATTGAAAACATATTATTATTATTATTTTTATCATCATGAGTGACAACTCGTTGCATAAGTAGATTCTTTTGGATGTCAAAATAAAGTGATGTAAGAAGTGCGGGATGCTTGTTAACAGTGAGATGAAGAGCTTGATAAAGTTGTATAATGGATAAAGTATGACCAGGTTGTAGACGATAAACAAATGGCATATTATAGATTGCTACTTGGGGCTTGTCTGGATCGAATCGAATTCTTTCATCAAGCCAAATACGAGCTTGTGCAAATGATGCTGGTGCTGTATCAAAGAAGAAGAAATGAAATATGAATAATGATATTGTTTATGAAATGTATTTTATTTTAGTTTCTATCACTATCTAATTACTCGGTGAATTGAACCATCAGATAATATAATTAGTTTTTTTTCTGTGAAAGACAAGTATGTTTTTATGCCGATCATGCATTAGAAGATTCAAATAAGCTGCTAACTTTTGTACGTTGTTTTGATGTTTTTCATAAGTCATGAGTTCCGTTTACTTTTGAAGATATTAGTGTTTTGAGAACTGTTTTATTTTCCAAGCTATCAAGCTAGTGGGGTAACCAGAAATTTAAGGATGATGGGGCTCAGCCCCAAAACTGTCTTGTCTTTTGGATTTTTTTGATTGACAAGTTCAGTAACTAAAAAAATCGAGTGAAGTAGCTTTAACATTCGGTGATGGGGTTAAGCTCCATCTGGCCCCAGTGTGACTACACCAGTATATCAAGCAGTCATCTGCTGTTCCATTCATGTAACTTATATTAGAGATGAGACAAACTTAATTTAAATTTTGTTAATGTTAAGTGGATTGGTACAAGGAGAAAGAGAACTAACTCAATCTGATGTTGATAATATGAGATACTGGCTATCGGTAGATGTACACAAGATAAGGTTAAAAAAGATGGCATATATGAGAATCATTGTTGAGCAAACCTCACTTTCTGTGCATTTGTGCCTTAACTGCTACATAATTATACGGAGAATCACCTGATAAACAAAGTAAGGCTATTTTAGAAGTATTCAGATCTACTTTTGTGTCATAAATAAGAATTTTATACATAAAAGAGTAGGTGGTGTAAATTTGTCCATATACACACAATATATTGAACGAAAAACTATGCTACTCAACTATCCATCTCATAGTCAATCTCTGATAAAAATACTAGGTCGAATGAATGAAGTATTGTTGAGTGATGAAGTAGATATCGCTTGAAAGGAGCATGAGTATGATAGAGTTGCGTTATCTCACTTTTCGTCATTATTTTCTCATTATTCTGAGAAAGGAAAAAAGATAAGATGGATTTCTCCTTGATTCTAAAAGGCCGAAAGATTAGCTAGCAAATCTCATCCTTTTTAATCTTTTTGAAGTGAAGTTTTTTAACTATAAAAGCTGGACCTTCATTTAACCACCATTTTCTTTCACTTTTGGATGAATATTTGGCAGGTTTTAAGAAGAAAAAGTACAATCTAAGTCATGACCAATAACATCTTTCGAATCAGCACAACAGACTCAGCTGGCTAAACGTGTCTTACAGTTGGACAAAATTGCGTTTTCTGTAAAATTCAGCTGAGATCTTACGCAGCGTACGACTACAAAATACACTTTAATCAAAACAGCAGCTTCATTGTTTATTTAGCGTTTTATAATTTCACAATTTTTTTCCTTGTTTCAATGATTTTCTAATAAAATTCATGTTGCGACTGCACGAAAAGTGAGATTTCAGCCGAATTTAGAGAAAAAAAACAATTTCGTCCAAAAATTGTAAAACATATATAAGCTAGTTAAGTCTTTTGTGCTTATTCGAACTATGTTATTGGTCATGACTTAGATTGTACTTTTTCTTATTAAAATCTACCGAATATTCATCAAAAATAAAAGAAAATGGTGTTTAAATGAAGTTCCAGTTTTTATAGTTAAGAAACTTCACTTCAAAAAGATTAAAAAGGATGAGATTTGCTAGTTATTTTTTCAAACTTTTAGGATTAATGAAAACCCCATCTTGTTTTTTTCCTTTCTTCAGTTCTGTAGAAAACAAAGAAAAGAAGTGAGATACCACAACTGTATCATGCCCATACTTCTTTCAGACGATAAAGAAACATATCTGCATTGATATTTCGTAGTGTACTGATAATCGATAGAAATGTTCATTAAGAAAAACTTTATGTCTAGATAAATATACCTTCGTTTATAATATGTGATTGTCGACAAAAGATAATATCTTCCACTTCTCGAGTTTCTTCTGGTAGAATAAGATTAATTTTCAACATAGATGCAAAACATGTATCAATTCGATTGATAATTTCACTTGATGAGAAAATTTGTTGAAAACAATATTCTAATCTTCGACCTATATTTGTAACTGTAATCTCATCAAACAGATCATGTGAACAAGTTAAACGAAATGATATTCTATTATTTTCCAACATTGAATTATAGACAAACATTAACATAAAATCAAACTTAGCCACTTCAGACGATTGTTCAAATGACAGTTGCTTGAAACTTGCTCCATCAAAAGATAATTCAGTGCTGCGTGACGATACAGTAATAAAGTCATACATTGTTTCGAGAAATGAAATATTTGATTGATTAATATGTAAATTAGCAAGAATATGTTGAAGTGGATAATGTGAATGTTCAAGAATTGATATACATTTTTCTTGTACACATTTAACAAGATCATCAAATGACCAATAAGGATCAATTTGAATACGATATGGTAATGTCGAAATAAACATTCCCATTATATTCTGCAGTTCAGTTTTGTATCGATTAGCATTAAGACAAGAAATACACAAATCATTTTCACCATGCGTTAACTTGAAAAGAAAAACATATAATATACTCAGACCTAACTGGAATGGTGTCACATGATGTATAGCAGCATAATCAAGAAATAATTGTGAAATTTCGTTGTCAAAAGAGATTTGAGTGACAGAAGCAGAACTCGATCGATGATCATTAGATAAACGATGTCGATCAGCTGGTAATGATAGCCGAGATTCGAAATTGTATTCTTCTAATTGTAAATACCAAAATTCACGAGATGTTGTCATATCAATTAGACGTTCGTGTATACTGCAATCAATATATTGCAGTAATTCATCATCATCTTCTATTGATACTGCATTAGTATTATAGGCTAAACATACATCATTAAAAAAGATTGGACGACTTGCTCGATCAAATGCTGCATGATGAAAAGCAATGAGGAGAACATCAGAGTTAGTTATAAATTCATTGCTATTATTTTCATTTACATTGAATGATGTTTGATGTTTCAGAATTTCAGTATGAAAAACATGACCAGATGATAAATCGAAGAGATTAGGATTAATAGTTGTTTGATAAATAATATCTCGAAGTTCATTGTCATTTTGAAATGTTTGATTCATAGTTATTGTGAATGTTTTATGTATATCTGTAATACATTGTTTCAAAATGCCATCATCATTGTTAAATAGAAGAGATGTACGTAATATTTTATGTTTATTCAAAACATATAGAAATGCTTGTGATAAACTATTTAATGATAATGATCCTTGAACAATTTGTAAAGTGGATAGTTCATTATAGATAGCAGTACCACTCGAAAAACGAACTTGTTCATCAAGAAAGATACGTTCTTGAGCAAAAGAGGCAATACCTGTCAATTAAACAATAGAATATATTTATGATAATTTCCTAGTAAATATTTTTACCTTCATTTATATATAATGTGTGCCATTGTGTTGCGTTGACATTATTCATTATAACTGTTTGAAGTAATTGTGAATGTTGAAATATAGTTGGTTGTTGAAGAAATGGAGCAATCGAAAGTGTATGAGCATCAAAGTTAAACACTGTTTGATAATGATGATAAAGTTCAATAAATAATAGTGAATGACCACCAA